AATTCAATAAACTGAATGAATCAAAATAGTGTTACTAAATATACCCTAAAGTACCAGGTCAAATTTCATGATGATAACGTATAGTACCTTTTCCCAAGGTAAGGTCAACATGAAATTGGAGACTTGACCACTTTTTTAATCTTCCTGAAAATAGCCCATTCAATTTTACTTGAGATGAAGGAACTAACTTTTCTGTTTAAAATGGATTATTTTCGACCATAGTGGATTTCTTCCAAGATCTGTCATAAGCTTGCGAAGGAATAAAGTGTACCCATATATGGCCATTTTTTGAAATAATTATGATTGTTCTGTTTCGAAATAACGCACAAACGGAGCGTATTGTTTACAAAAAATTATACTTCTACATGACTTTCACTTAATAAGGGCTGGTTCGCATTACCTTCACGGTAACATATATGTACGCTTTGCTTATTCGCCATCTAAGCCATGCGGTAAAACAAAATGCGAATAAAAATTTCCTTACTACATTTTGTGGAAAAATACTTCGGAGGTTAGCTAAACATCATTTTTAAAACTTAAATCGTTCCCTTTTTCTGAACTCGGCATCACTTACATCTTAACAATTTCTAAAAAATTCCGATTCTAGAAGGGATATGTTGTACACTCTTTTTTACTTGTTTTGGAATTACTCTATAGCGCAATCTATATTCATCAAACGTTCGGTTCTGTCATACTGAATAGTATAGGAAATTCCTTCAATATTCGACTACTCCCAATTTCGCCAAAATAAAAGCCCATTTGTCTTAATAAACCTAACCAAATATTGCGATTTTCAAAACTGAAAGGTTTTCGAGGAACTATATCTACTTAGAGGATTAGGGTATTGTGACCAAATATATGCCTAACTAGCAAGTCAAATTTCGTCAGGGAGGTTGCACAATTTTCAGCCCATATTGTATGTTACCGACAGAGACAAGGGAGATTGGAATGGCCATTTCAGGCTTATTAGCCGTCATTAGCCAGTCTTAGCGAACAACAAGGCAGTTTTAAATTAGGCCGCCTGTTAAAAAATACTGCAAAATTACTGCAATGCTCTCGTTCATTAGGGAAAGCAATTTAGAAGGGCTAGTAAATATTTTTCGACTAAGCCCTTTTTGCACTAAAAATATCTGTAATGCTCAACTTCGGATTTCGAGGGGAATTGGCTAAGAACATTTCGCCATCTTATGTCAACTGCACTGAGTAGTCTTCATGTCAAGCAAGCTGAATAAGATTTTAGTGGATAGTCTGTATACTCAAAAAATAAGCTGAGGTAACAGAGGTCGCCTGGGCAAAAGTAGCTCAAGTCATTCTTTTCACAGTCCTTGCAGTTGAATTATACTACAGCGATTTAATTATCCGAATTTTAAAAACGCTGTTTTTGAAAAGAAAAACCTGACTGACCACATCTTGATTTATCCGGACGGAAAAATCCATTAGTAAGCACCGATTACATGACACCCACAGAGGACGCGTGCGATCAGACAAAACTGACGCAAGAAATCATCAAAGCGCGGGGTTTTAAATTTTCTTTTAAACTGATTAGATTTTTTACCAGCCAAATAATATAAAAATATACTTCGCACGAAAAGAAGAGTATTGACAAATTACGCTCTTTCGAAAAAAAAACCAGACAAATGTCATTTCCGAGGTTCATTCAAAGGGCCACCAGTTTGACTGAGTTGTGTATTTATAATAATATTGTTAGCATGCGCACCTCGAGGATGAAGGATGCCATCAAAATGTCTCTTTGTGCCTAAGAATAAAAGAAGAGATTTCTTAGAAGTCCCTGAACGTTGCCGATTGTACCAGAGCCTACTGCGGGTCTGGGTCCCAGAACGCTTTCGGTAAATGTATCCTCTCTGAATGAATGTCTCTGTCTAGGGTCATACCCGCTCTGCCTTTCAGTAAGTCAAGCTCAGGACTTCGAAAAGCAACTAACTCTTGAGAACTAGATAAGTAGTCCCCTGATCTTGGTCAATTCTCTGTGGGAATTTGAGGGAAAATTTTCCACATGACCTTTACTATGGCGTGCCATACTAGCCGACCCTGAAAGAGGTATATATTTGCGCCCCTCGAAGGTAAAGCTGGAGTTGAGGGAGTTTTGTGAACTTGCCGGTGAACTGAGCCAATCAGAATAAAACACGTCGGCCTGGATTTTAAGTCGGCAGTCGCTCGTGTACTGGAAATCCTTTAGGAACTAACTATAAATAGCTTCTCTACTCAACACTTTCATAGGTAGCCTTATCATAACCTCTGATTTCTGAGCGTACATTACCTGAAATATCGCCTAGAACT